TGCTGCTGTCATCATAACATCTGAACTAACGGGTGCTCGTTCAGTTTTCCTTTTATATGTTCTTACCATCTGCAATGCATATAAAATAACGTGTTCCTATTACATTTCATTAGACCTATTTTAAGATAAATTAAAATATTTTAGAAATACCCGTTGTATAGTGTATCTCTATGTATTTAAAATCTTCCAATATGAACGTTTTACCAACCACGTAGTTGTTTATGAGGCAAGTTGTTGCACGACAACTTGCCCCATAAACAATGCGACAAATTACCCCCACTTGACAAAATATTGGTTATATCTAATTAATTTTATATATGATTAATAAACATATTTAAAAATATCACATCATATTACGTACATCCTAAGTTATAATTATGTATAAAATTTGCTTACCTTAACGTTCAATAACGGGCATAACACTTAAATTATTCTTAACACGAAAATTTACGACGTGCGCACTAGTCTTATATAGTACCCTATGGTGCTGCCATCTTAGCGGTTTAAGTTCAAACTGAGGGAAGATAAAGAAGGGATCTCTAATTAACTTGTGATAGAGATTTATAGGCCAATGTTTTCTAATTTCGGAATTATAGTAATTGCGACAATTTACCCCTGCGACAACAAGCCCCGGTGTCCCCTAATGTGAAAAATGAGACTTAGTATAATTTTCTTCATGTAATTTTGACAGATGTGTTCTTTGTGTATTCCGAAAAGCAAGTAAATGCTCCCAGAACGAAGAAAGATATAAGGCATTTTCGAAACGCTTGCATCTGTAAATTTTTTTGTAAACTGACTGTAAACTGATTTAGGTACAGGGAAGCTCTAACATTTTTGACTTATTTTTAATTTATCTTGTCGATAATGTAATAACACGTAGGGTGTTCCATTTAAAATAACGAAGTCGACAGCTACTTCCGGTATAACCGGAAGTGCTACGTTGATGACATTATTTTCATTGAAGAGAACATATCTGATAACCCCCGTAAACAAAATTTCAGTCATATCGTCTTTGGTTCCTCTGGAACGTTTAATAGGCCACTTACCGTGAAGAACCCTGTATATTTATTCTAGAGAATATGTGTCATTCAGTTCATTAAAATATATTCAATTTACTTAATGTTATTTTCCCTTGTAATATAATACAAAATGCATAATTTAATACATGAATGATTTTCTGTTAAACCTGATATTTTTACCTAACAAACTGGTCCTCTGTCCCAAGTTAACGGGAAATGGCCAATAATTCTTATTCCACCGGGGTTGCTCTCTTGGCAAAGTTTGAACGCGAGAGAAAATTCATTAAGGATGCGGCTGAAATTAATGGTTGTTCTCCTTATGTAGCTGATAAGTTAAGTTGAGAAGTTGATTTAAAAGGACCCCCTTAAGGATCTTCGGCCATTACGTTTGAACGTCAAAATTTGCGTCAATTCCCGCCGAACCGCAACTTGCCCGAGGCCTCGGAAAAGTTTTCTGTGAGAGCAACGTGAAACTATTTGTAAATTTGCAAACCAGAAGAATTCCTGAGGGAGAGTTTTTCCTTTCTAAAACGGATTTTATCATTTAACAATTTTTGACATTTAAATTTTCCAAGAGACCGGTCAAGAAATTGAACCTTTGCGTCGTTTCTAAAAATAAGATTCTATATTGTATATAAAATGTTATACAGTGTGGAATAAATTCAGTATCTCACCTGTTGTGCATACCTATTTATAAAAATAAGATCCTTCTACATAAAAATTTCATCTCCAAATTCAACCCGTTTCGAGTTGATACCTCATTTCAATGGTAAATTTATAAGTAAAAAAATAAATTTAGCTGCTTGACGAAATTCGCTGCTACAAACTAAAAATAACTTAATTTCAACGAAGGAGATGTTCAAATTATTTATTATTATTTTTGCCTCAAGTCAGGTATATCGCGTGGCTTACTTTTGTACAGGGTGTTGTAGTATAACAACCCCGGGTTTGATCGAAAAAAATATAAAATATAAACGTAGTTGTGGCCAAAAATATGTGATCGTCATAAGGAATACCTACGTTGTATACATCTATTTTTAATTGACCGAAAGGCGCTGGCTACTAACTTTAAAGAGGGGAAGTATGGTTTAATTTTATAAAACAAAAGCAGAGTAAATACACCTAACTTTATTATTTACGTACAACAGTCTTCAAATTAAACATGTGACAAATAGAAAGAACAACAAAAACATTAACAACCATTTAACATAAAATGAGAGTGCCAGGCTCACCTAGAGCTCCTGTGGGGAAAGAGCATGGCAGAGAAACCCACGATCGTTGCTCTAACTACCCAAATATAAATACAAAACAACCGCTAACAAAAGGCATAAATTAGGATCCTTTGCTAATGATAATTAACGCCCGACTCATTTAATGTGTCACTAAATGTCACCTCACTCGAATTAGACATACACACTTCCAAGTAAAACTGAAGAGGTTTGGTGTTAGTTAGCCGGCAGGGCCGGAAGGTACTGGAGTCCCATACGGGAGGCAATCCAGCTATGAGTTGAGATTTCGGAAGATCTGTTTTAGCAATTTTTTTTTTGTATTTAATTATTCTTTTTACAGATTCATTCCTCACGGGCGAAAATGTTAGTAAATTCAACAAGGCTCTTATATGCGTATGACATAAAGTGAGCACAAGAAATGCTTTATTATTTGTTTTTCGAACAACGTAATCATGATAAAACAAGTTAAATGTGAAACAAAGGAGTTGTTATTGCAATATCTGGGCAGTCACGACAATATATATATTTTAACATGAAATAAATAATGAGCAATCGTTAATAATAATTATAACAATTTTACCTTAGAAAAATATATGCCCTTGAGCATAAAGCAATGGAAGCTAAACATACAAAGAATTATTATCATGAAACATCTATAAACATCACAATCATAAGATTACATAGAACAATTAACAACAAAGTACTTAAATAATAATTACCTGCTAATTAATACCGGTTAAACACTTTTAATTTTTCACTACTTATGTATTTTCACCGTACACCGATCGTCTTACTTTTCACTCTGCGCTGTTCTCACCTCAACTATTTAAGCTTCCTTCCAGAATTCCCCACCTAAGCGTTTGTTTTTGCGCTTCCTCTACCAACTGTCAATATTACGTTTTCATTATTATACAACGCCCACGTAACAGGTGACGTAGAAGTTGATAGGATAAGTATGGTTTTGCGCAGTGTCTCACGTGGTGTTAAATGGGATGAGGTAAGCCCCTATAGCCGAACACAACTTTATTGGATTAAAAGTAGTTCTATTGGTTTGTATTTCATGAACGCAATTTTCTCAACTTTTTGTTCAGTTTAATGGGTAAAAAATTGATATATGTATATTGATTGATAATTGATAAAGATACCACAAAGTCATATTGACGAAATATTTAAACTAGAACTGTAGAAAGTTCGTGTAACAAATATTGTACTTGTACAATGTTTCGAAAATTAAAATAGGTCAACATATAACGTTTTCATTCTATGGTTATATAAAACATATTCAGTGCTCTGCCCGCTGGAGGATTTAATACGACATTGGAACATATTTCATCAAATGTGTACAAATTTGTATTTGCCTGCACTTGACATTCTAGTCTCATATTAACGCTGTTTCTGTGTCAATTCGATCCTCGTGTCCTCTCCAATTTAATTAGACCCATATGCTTAATTAGATCAGATGTCGAATAAATTCTCATTTGTTACTCCGTTGTAATTCCAATGCGAACATTTAGATATTCCCGAACGCTTCAAAAATTAATATGAACCTTTCAGAGGAGGCTTCAATATACAGGTTGTTAATGAATAGGTGTTACAAACGGATATGGTATGTAAAAAATCCAAAAATAAGTGCAGTTTACTTAATAAACATATGTCCTAAAGCGGCTCATTTTCGAGATACAGGGCGTTGAAATTTAAAAATAATAAACTATTTTTTCCTGTAGCTCCGGTATTAGTTAATATTTCTTTATCAAACTCAACAGACAGATTTACTAGCTTAAAGGATGCATAAATATGGCAGAAACCATTTATTGGCTTCTTCTAGTGGCGTGCGATAGGTGTCGTTTCACCTTTTATCCCCCCTAAATTGTNATCTTGTGATCATGAAAGTGCGGGAATGAGTGTAAAGAGCAGAGCACCCGAAAGAATTTCGCGAAGTGGTCGAGTGATTCATATGCCAAAAAGATACCTGTAATGCCTCCTATTTTGTAACCTGTTTAATATTGTTTTCCTTTGTTTATTTGTGAGTCACCTTTGTGTTAATAAAAAGGTTCCTCAGGTGGGAGGATGTTAGGAATTTAGATTAGGTTACGTTAGTAGTTTCTGTTAGAAAAATAAGAAAAAAACCGAGTAGGTATAAAAAAAATAGATGTCATGAAAAAGTAAATAAAACGTCATTGGAAATAAAGTATTGTTCTTATCACCGTGTTACCTCTTTATGCAAATAGAAAAGGAGACCGTCGAAGGCAGTTAACGACGGGTAGTTGTTTGGTGTCTCGACACCATAGTACACGAGGAAGTCATGGAGAATTTCTCAGTATTTTTACTAGATCGATTTTCGACCTTATGTACTTTGGACATAAGTGCCAAAAAATGGCTTCTTTGTCATGACCTTAAATATGCGATATTCTGGCAATATTAGAAATATTTAAGAAGTTTCAAACCCCAAGTGATAAACTAAAAGAATTATAGAATTTATATTTTTAAATTATAGAACAATATAGACTTTTATAGTAATTAATAAATTTAAATTATAACAACGTTACTGAGCATGCGCATTAAAGATATTTTCTTGTAAGCGAAGTAGCCTCGCAACAGGATATCATTCAAGAAAAATTTGGTTCTGGTTAAGAGTATAAACCACTAGAAGAAAAAAACACTCGATAAACAGACTGACACAGCACAGCACCAAGAAAACCAATATTGGTAGACCTAGAAAATGCCAAGATTAAGCAAAATAAGAGAAAATGCGCTAATGACGACAGCGATGACATATCAACAAGATCTCATCTGCGTATGAGGCTATTCTTCCCGAGCCTGCTCATTAGGGATAACATGGCTAATGTTAAATTTTTACTTTATTTAAATTTAAGAATATTCTTTTATATCGTTTTTTACAAGTTTTAAGCACATTAATGTATCTATTTTACGAAACACGTGTTGGCTCATCTTAAATACTTCTAAATTCTTGTAAAAATAAGTTAATTTGAAGTTGTTCATTTCTATAGTATCTATGTAAATAGTAAACAAGGGTCAGATTCGATCTGTACAATTTCAACTATGACAACGTTGGTCTTTACCATTTTTTGTAAATAGAAAAATGAAGAAAGGGGGGGGGGGGGAATTTAACGTTATGTAAATGACCCTGTGCATATAATAATGCAGAATAAGGTACAGTTCGTACGATATTTAATGAGATAGAATTCCAAGAAGACCCCTGCGTCTCTTTCATGGAATTAACCGCATTCGACACTTGAAATAGAAAGACATTGACAGCGTGGCATTCGTCATAGTAGCTTGCAGTGCATACTGTGTTTTCCAGTTACGAAGGCGTGTTTCTACGTAAATGTATTATCGGTGAATAGGTGAAAAATAAAAGAAAGGAAAGTCGGGGAGTAACGTGTTTAACGTGTATAATTATTTTCAGACAACTTTTATAAATGAAAATTTCAAGGCACGCCCCTGCTGCGGCAAATTGTTACAGTAGTTCCATTAACAGAACTTTATTGGCTTATTCTTTTCTTAGAATTCTATATCAACAAATAATATTGTACAGACTGTACAGAATTTTAACAGCAGTTCTTAAGTCAATTGAACTTTGTAAGAATAAAACTACTGAAAGTAGGGTTAATCTTTTTTGCTGTATTTCTAGCAATATTTCTAATATAACTATAGACTTCCTTATATAACTGAATACAGAAAAAAAATATCTCACAGAATTGATAAAAAAATATAATGGGTGCCATTTAAACAAAAACAGTTGACTATAGCAATTTTGACCTATGTTACCATGGAGACGACCTAATAATATCATTTGATAGAGTTTGAACGGCGATTTAAAAATATATAGGGTTTGTTATAGCTATTTGTTAAAATAAAAGAGATACGAGGCCGCGAATATCAAACTGAATCACCCGGTATACTAAATATGTAAACATGGCGGGGCGGTAGCCAAAGCGGTCGAGGCTTGCCTACAGAGGCTAGCCAGGGCTGCGCGGCAAAACCGTAGTGGGTTCGAATCCCGCACGCAGCAGGAAAATTCGAAAGAATTTTCCTGTCGTACCATGGATGTTTGTGATTGTTAAGGTGGAGGGTAGTGTAAGTTAGCAGGCAAAAAGGGCCAAGCATGGCCTAATTGCTGGTAAGCAATGACCTTTGACCTTTAAATACGTAACTCTGGTTTGTTGAATTCTACCATTCAGCTATTTTTTTAGGTTAGAAAAAAACTCTAACGTGATGAGACCAAATGAGTTGCAGATTCGGTTTCAGCGACCCAAAAAACCCTAATACGATAGTTTTGGCTGAGGAGTCCTTTCGTCGATTTTTTTTGTGGTACTGTGTATTATTACAAATGTACAATGTAAATAAAACCAGTTAAGTAAAATAGAGAAAACAGAATTGTTTGTTACCCAATTATATACTACTTAAATTATCGTCACAAATAGCGCAATTATTTGCAATTTTATTATAAAATCCATCCCAAAGGAGATTTTGTTAAAAATTAGTTCAATGAGCAACACAATCAAGCTTAAAAGTATGGGGTAATCAATCTTGCTAGTCAGAAGGTTATACAGAGCCATCTATCATGAATCGAAAAAAATGTTTCAAACAAATCCTACGTACTTTTAGGCGTAAAATTCGAATCTGGAAAAAAAAGGGGGTTCCTATTCAAGATTTCCAAGTTACCCTCCTCCTCACCAACAAGGGGTGGGGGAGAGGAACTAATTTTAGCACTAATGTATTCCCCCGCGGAATGATTAAATTATTATTATTGACTTTTTTCGAGACATTTGAAGGCTTCAGGTTAAAAAATACACGCGGTATAAACTTGATACATTGATTTTGCAAGGCCTGCCTAAATCCGACAAATGGCCCAACAGTTCACGGACACCCCGTAGAANCATTCAGCTATTTTTTTAGGTTAGAAAAAAACTCTAACGTGATGAGACCAAATGAGTTGCAGATTCGGTTTCAGCGACCCAAAAAACCCTAATACGATAGTTTTGGCTGAGGAGTCCTTTCGTCGATTTTTTTTGTGGTACTGTGTATTATTACAAATGTACAATGTAAATAAAACCAGTTAAGTAAAATAGAGAAAACAGAATTGTTTGTTACCCAATTATATACTACTTAAATTATCGTCACAAATAGCGCAATTATTTGCAATTTTATTATAAAATCCATCCCAAAGGAGATTTTGTTAAAAATTAGTTCAATGAGCAACACAATCAAGCTTAAAAGTATGGGGTAATCAATCTTGCTAGTCAGAAGGTTATACAGAGCCATCTATCATGAATCGAAAAAAATGTTTCAAACAAATCCTACGTACTTTTAGGCGTAAAATTCGAATCTGGAAAAAAAAGGGGGTTCCTATTCAAGATTTCCAAGTTACCCTCCTCCTCACCAACAAGGGGTGGGGGAGAGGAACTAATTTTAGCACTAATGTATTCCCCCGCGGAATGATTAAATTATTATTATTGACTTTTTTCGAGACATTTGAAGGCTTCAGGTTAAAAAATACACGCGGTATAAACTTGATACACTGATTTTGCAAGGCCTGCCTAAATCCGACAAATGGCCCAACAGTTCACGGACACCCCGTAGAATTTCTCTTATGAAAACTTCCCTGATAGACCAAATTACTTTCAAATAAGTTCAAAATCAAACGCCAACCCCGAAATATCGAACTAGAACCAATATTTCCCCTACGTTGATGTATTCGGGTCGCTTAAAGTTCAACGAGACCCATTTACGTGAAGCATCGTCGTGCTTTGAGAAAAATTAAAGCATTTTTCATCTTTATTTGCAGTAATTTCAGCGGCGTGGGTCACCAACTCTCCGCAACGCGCCTCCTGTCGTCCCCCGACGGCTCCAGACACCACCCCCTCGACGGCCTGGAGCAGATCTGGCCCTGGAACGACTCCTATTCGAGCCTGCACCGAGACACGTATACGGAAGTGAGGACGCCGCGACGCCCCCGCCTGACGTGGGGTTGTTTCCAGGCGTGCAGGGCGCGCATCCACCACAGCATCGCCAAGAGAAAGGTGAGGTGATTTTTATACGGGGTGTCCCACTATTATAGAAATGCATATTGCTAGTGAAGCTTCCACGGATTCTTAAAGTGAAAATAAGGCTATTTAGTTTAACTTATTTCCCTGTAGATGCAAAATAAAGTTGTAATATTTTTTTTAAATAGAATTTTTACGAAAATTTCCCAAAGGTGCGAAATATGTTTATGAAATTTGGTATTCCGGGGTTTTTAAGGACGCCAAATACGCTGGTCTAATTATTTTTTGTGTATTTTATAGAGGGCGCTAGTTATGCTACATTCGTATTACATTTTAAGTTCTTATTTTTTCAAGGTTAGGTTTTTTACCATTCGGGCTCCAATTTCTTATGTACAATTTTATTTTCTAAAAAGAATGTACTCTTGTTAGACTTCCTAATGTGGACGATATTCGAGGTAAAAGGCTTTTAATTGAACTCTTACGGTGTAGAAAATAAGTGACTTTTCTCAAAGTAGGCTTATGTCAAAACTTATTGATGGATGTCCCATAAACAACGCATAAATTCTTAGTATTATTTTAAACTCTAATTAACTTTATATTAAAATTTTAGTTATTGTTAGTGACTGTAGTAGTCCAACCAAATTACATTTGGAGAAAAAAAAATTGTTACCTGAACTTTTATAAGTGGAAATGGTAAAAGGGCTTATAATAAACCTAAAAATAATAAATGCGTGAGCAGAGGCGGCGGAGGGTTGATTTGGGGGGTTGAAAAATTATGAAAAATTGTATTATTGGGATTTCTGGCGAAAGTTGACATCAAACAAAAAAGTATCTAATACAAAAGTTGTAGATCATACAAAAATCTACAACTTTTGTAGAGGTCACTTTTTAACATAACCTCAAAATTTCCGAGAAAACTGCGAAAAACAGTTTTTTTTCTAATTTTTCGTTTTTTATTTCTTATTTCCGCAAAAATAATTTAATTTTGACGAAACTTGGTGAAAGTGTACCTTTCTCTGTCTTAAATAACCTCAAATTTTTTTAGATAAAAAAATCATGAAGTTTCTGAGATATTCATTTTTTCGGCCTGAAACACTTTTTTTTCAAAGAAAAATTCTACTTAAAAAAAACATCGTAGAGAGTTCTGCCATAATAATTTTTTTCGTTTTGACATATACTTTTTGGTGAAATAAAAAAATCTGTAATAATAGTTCAAAAACATGCTCAAAAATGCAGAAAAAAAATAAAAAATGACTTGCAACAATGAATTTTTCAGTTATTGTTGATAATTTGTTTAAATTAAAAAACATTCAAAAATTGATTACACCATTCAATTCTACGGAAAAAAATAAAAAAAAAAATGTGTCGTGGTTTGCCCGAAAACTTTATTTTTGTACAGTATTGCTATAAACATCTAAGTCGAATTACAAATGCACAAATGATAAATTATCTCTGGACGATTTGAGATTTCAGCAATACAAAGTATTAACAGCAGAGTCTACTGTTGACGCGAAATCCGAAAACCCGCAATTTTGCAAAATCGTTTTATTTTTTTTCTGGCTTTATTTGAAAACGAATTTTAAATAAATTGCATATTTACATTGCCACTTTTTTCGCTCTATCCAGTGGCGTCAACATTTTTGCAATCCGACGTTTCGTCTTCGAGGGGCCATCATCAGATTAATTTTTTTAAATATATCGCTGCTATTTTTATGACAAAATCTAGTCATTTTTAATTCTGTATTAGATGATATTACTATTGTAATCGCTTAAAAAGGTTTTTAGCTATCATTAAAAATTTTTCCTGAGTACGGCTCTGAACGCTTTCAAAATACCTGTATCTATTGGAGGAGAGAGAGAGAGAGAGGAGAGAATAAAAGTCAATACAGCACAAAATGTCCAACAATTTTTTTTAATCCATAATTTAAAAAGTTGTACCTAATAAAAAAATAATACGAATTTATGAAATATTTTATTATTTCTAATTAGTATTGCTAACAGTAAAAAATTGTTGGGTATTTTGTGCGGTATTGACTTGTATACTGTTATGACTTCATCCAATAGATGTTTTGAAAGCGTTCAGAGCCGTACTCAGAAAAAATTTTTAATTATAGCTAAAACAAGCTAAAAACTTTTTAATCAATTACAATAGTAATATTATCTAATTCAGAATTAAAAATGACTTTAGATATTAGGTACTTATTTAAAAAAATTAACCCGATGATGGCCCCTCGAAGACGAAACGTCGGATTGCAAAAATGTTGACGCCATTGTATAGAGCGAAAAAAGTGGCATTGTAAATATGTAATTTATTTTAAAATTCGTTTTCAAATAAAGCCAGAAAAAATTAAACAATTTTGCAAAATTTCGGGTTTTTCCGGATATCTCCGGAACTACCCAGAATTTTAAAACTTTCTAAACAGCATATTGTTAGGTATAAAAAAACACAACTTTTTTCTAATCTGAGCCACCCCGTATCTCTTACCGTTTCCTAGATACTAATGCCTATCCCATCCTTATCTTGGACACACTGTATATCTATGAATACATCAAACTTTAAACAAAATAAGTACACTAGTTGATCCTAGGGAAAAAAAAATTATTTATTTTATTTATTCACTATTCGACTTATGTTTATAGCAATACTGTACAAAAATAGTTTTGGGTCAAACAATGAGACAGTTTTTTTTGTATTTTTTCCGTACAATTGAATGGTGGCATCAGTTTTTGATTTTTTTTAAATTTAAACAAATTATCAACAATTACTGAAAAATTCATTGCTGCATGACATTTTTTAATTTTTTGCATTTTTGAGTATGTTTTTGAACTGTGATTACAATTTTTTTTATTTCACCAAAAAGTATATGTCAAAACGAACAAAAATGATTACCGGCAGAACTCTGTACGATGATTTTTTTAAGTAGAATTTTACTTTAAAAAAAAGTGTTTCAGGCCGAAAAAAATGAATATCTCAGAAACTTCTTGATTTTTTTAATCTAAAAAAATTTGAGGTTATTTAAGACAAAGAAAGGTATACTTTCACCAAGTTTAGTCAAAATTAAATTATTTCTGCGGAAATGAGGAATAAAAAACGAAAACTCAGAAATAAACCTGTTTTTTGCATTTTTCTCGGAAATTTTCATGTTAAAAAATGACCTCTACAAAGGTTGTAGATTTTTGCATCTACAACTTTTGTATTAGATACTTCTTTGTCTGACGTCAACTTTCGCCAGAAATCCCAATGATACAATTTTTCATAAGTTTTCAACCCCCCAAATCAACCTTCCGCCGCCCCTGCTCACGCATTTATTTTTTTTTTGTTTATTATAAGCCCCTTTACCATTTTTCACTTATGAAGGTCCAGGAAACAATTTTCTTTTTTTTTCCTCTAAATGAGTTATTTTGATCGGTCTATAGTTAGTAATGACTAATTACAGTTACTAAAATTTTGATATAAAGTTAATTAGATTTTAAAATATTACTAAGAATGTATACGTTGTTTACGAGACATCCATCAATAAGTTTTGACATAAGTCTACTTTGGGAAAAGTCACTTATTTTCTACATCGTGATATTGTAAGAGTTCAATTACACGCCTTTTTACTCGAAAACCGTCCACATTAGGAAGTTCTAACAAGAGTACATTATTTTTAGAAAATAAAATTGTACATCAGCAATTGGAACCCGAATGGTAAAACACCTAACCTTAAAAAAATTAGAACTTAAAATGTAATAGGAATGTACATAACTAGCGCCCTCTATGAAACAACCAAAAAATAATNAAAACCTGTTTTTTGCATTTTTCTCGGAAATTTTCAGGTTATGTTAAAAAATGACCTCTACAAAAGTTGTAGATTTTTGCATCTACAACTTTTGTATTAGATACTTCTTTGTCTGACGTCAACTTTCGCCAGAAATCCCAATGATACAATTTTTCATGAGTTTTCAACCCCCCAAATCAACCCTCCGCCGCCCCTGCTCACGCATTTTTTTTTTTTCGTTTATTATAAGCCCCTTTACCATTTTTCCCTTATGAAGGTCCAGGTAACAATTTTCTTTTTTTTTCCTCTAAATGAGTTATTTTGATCGGTCTATAGTTAGTAATGACTAATTACAGTTACTAAAATTTTCATATAAAATTAATTAGAGTTTAAAATATTACTAAGAATGTATATGTTGTTTACGAGACAGCCATCAATAAGTTTTGACATAAGTCTACTTTGGGAAAAGTCACTTATTTTCTACATCGTGATATTGTAAGAGTTAAACGCCTTTTTTCTCGAAAACCGTCCACATTAGGAAGCTCTAACAAGAGTACATTATTTTTAGAAAATAAAATTGTACATTAGAAATTGGAGCCCGAATGGTAAAACACCTAACCTTAAAAAAATTAGAACTTAAAATGTAATAGGAATGTACATAACTAGCGCCCTCTATGAAACAACCAAAAAATAATTAGACNTTCTAACAAGAGTACATTATTTTTAGAAAATAAAATTGTACATTAGAAATTGGAGCCCGAATGGTAAAACACCTAACCTTAAAAAAATTAGAACTTAAAATGTAATAGGAATGTACATAACTAGCGCCCTCTATGAAACAACCAAAAAATAATTAGACCCGCAAATTTGGCATCCTTAAAAACCCCGATATATAAAATTTCAAAAAAATATTTCGCACCGTTTGGAGATTTTCTTAAAAATTCTATTTAAAAAATTATATTTTGTCGCTCTGTATCTCGAAAACAAGAGGAGATATACATATAGTTCATAAGACAAAAAATTATTATTTTTGTCGTACCCCCTGAATTTACGAGAGGTCTTTCTGAAACATCCTGTATAATTGTAAAATTATTACCAACAAATTGCAGATTTTCTCAAATTTTCAAGCAATATTGTATGAAAGTTTGATACAATTTGTTGCTGCCACGATTTTAGGAACAATTACGTAAATTTTATGACGTTTTCTGGGTGCGGAGCTGGTGTCATACACAAGAGAACTATTATAGACTATTTACTAGATAGGGGGAAGCTGCT